ACCAGCGAATATATATGCGCATATATACATATATACGCACTCATGCTGACAAGTGATTTAGAAATGCCAATATTTTAAAATTTGTCATTTTGTATTTAAATGAGATGCGTGAACTCCTTTGAAATTTTTTACATACATGTCACTATTACTACGGCTATTAAAATTATTATGACTATGAGTATTCGTTGTTAAGCGTGTGGTTTAAAAACGGAACTTGAAGTGGATTTATTGATTTATTCATTGATCGACTTTTTGCTAAATAGATCCTCCGTTCATATCTTTAATGGATATATATATATATATATATATATATATATATATATATATATAAGCTGCTGGAATGTATATGCATGTGTATGTACGTATATGCATATATTATATGTTAACTGAATTTTACAAGTTTTCACCTGTTAGAGAATATACTACTACAATTTTAAGGCATTTTAAACGTTACGATATCATCGTAGACGATGTATTAAGTGTAGTTTTTTACAGTAGGGGAGTAACTTACGAATGAACTGCATTTAATTGAATTTCAACTGATCCTATGGTATTAGTTATTCTCGTAGAGGTGTAAACTATAAATCGGTATGACAGCATGTATATATACCATTGCAGTACTACGTGTGTATTCATGAAAAACGAATCGATGGTGTGTGTGTGTGTGAATGAAGCATTCATGCATGCAGTTGCGCTGTATGAAACAGTATGTCCTTTTTGTTATAATAATGAATTAGAGAAGAGACGAAATTATTAAAGTAGACATATTGATTGATTCATCTTATCGATCAAAATTAATGCTATCAACCTGTAGATTTTATTAATATAATGATTTATGAAATGTATGATATATTCTGTTTTTTCTTCCTGAAAAATACTTTTGTTTCCACTAGTAACCTTATCATCAGATGGTTTTACTTTACTGCCTTGGTCAGTTTGTTGTCAGGTGTATCCTTGTATATCATGGGGACCGTTTTCTTGCTTCAGAGGTGTGTCTGTGTTTTTAATGCAGCCTTGTTTGTGTAGGTATGCTTCAGTGGTTCAATGGTAGAATATTCACCAACTAGGCACTGTGATCCAGATTCGACTCTTGGTTGACGCACTCCTAGACCTCAACCGAAAAGCCCGGAAATGCGGGAAGATTGAGTGTAAGGCTAGAACCCGCCCTCCACCCCTCCCCCACACATACATACACGCGAGGAACAAAGCAACATCAGCACCACTACTGAAAGCTCAAAAGCTGGAATCTGTTTGTTCTCCAGTCTCAACGTAAGGGACGAAAGAAGAGAAGGAGGAAGGTGCTGATTAGCTTGCAGGAAAGTGAAAGAGAGAGATAGAGAGGAGGAGGTAGAAAAAGAAATTTGCGAATCCATTTGATTGAGTTCGTTCACTGGGAGTTATATCAGTAGCTTTTCGGCTTAACAGTATTATTATCCATAATTATATGATTCCAGGGCAGGCTTCATCTCTAGTAAGTTTTAGTAAATTACGTCATAGAGAATCGCAGGGAAGCATAAGTCATTATTGTACAGATTCAAAAATTGAATTAAATAATAAACACACTGCTTTGAAATGTTGAATAAACTCTACTATTGTCTCAGCCAATAAAAGTTTCGAAGAGATCAGGTTACCTAAGATAACAGAATTGACTGCATGCTGTTGCCACCACGCATATATATATGATAGTATGCGGGCGTAACTGTAATAAAAAAATTTTTTAAATGCATTTGAAGAATGTTTCTCTCTACAGAAAACAGTATTGAAACAACTTTGAAACTAAATTTATATTTAAAAGAAAAACAACATTTGACTGACTGAATAACTAACTAATGTATCTAAGCACGTTATAGAAGCTGTTCAGAGGCTAAAACATAAATGTAATATCACTTAATACATATACTTGCTTAGAGGATTTCATCATGAGCTGACATCATTTAGAGAACCATTGGAAGAAAAACGTAGTGTACTGGACAGTTGTTTCGTCCTAGTTTGTGACTGGAACCCGACACAGTGGCAACCACATGAATTCCTACTCCTACCAATTTGTTATTTTACGCGTGATCACTAGCCAATTTCATCCGAGGCGAGTATTCGTCTTCACTCCCTAAAATTCATGAATTAGTAGAAGTTAGCATTCATGGGTCATTGAATCAGGTCCTAGTGGTTGAATAGTCTACGAGCTTGACTTTTAACTGTAGGTCCTGGCTGTTCCAGTAGGCGTGTACTCCCGATGAGTCCCAAATTAGGACGAAACAGCTGTTCAGTACTCTCTCCTTGTTTTCAGTGTTTCTCTAACTGGTATCATCATTTTCTTACAATAAGTCAGTCTATTGGATGAATTAAAATTAATTCAAAAGTGAAGACACAGCTTGATAACAAATATCAATAAGCATTAAAATCTAGGTCCCATTTCCTCCTGTCGATTGCCTCCTACCAGATGACATTAATTCAAAAGGTGTCAGTCGATGGCTATTCTCCGAGAATTGTAATTACACTGTCAGTTAACTTATAGAATTCAATCACTACCACTTACTAGGGAATAGACAAAGGATATCGATTTATCCGCCAGTCACAGTGAGTGACCAGTCACCATCTGATATATGGTCAACAATCAATCTGTCACTTCCTCCATTATGAGAATAGACTTAGCACTAGAAGAACCGAACCAGTGCCAAGTGCAGAGCTCTTATAATGAACGAAAACTGAGTGAAATTGTCAGAGAATAAAATGACATTAAAATACATTCAGTAAAACTGGTCAGGCCAAACTACAGATTTGAATCCTGTCAAAAATTGAAAATTTCATCCAAAGTTTAGTCACTATCAAGTCAGAACAAAATAACTGTAAGGTAGATGTGTTGCTTGAAAATCCCTGATTACTTTTGTTACTTGATAGCAGACGTTCAGTTATCACATCAGGTAACTTTCTTTGTCAATGCTTTTTATCATTCCTTACGTTCCAAGTGGAACATAGAGCTTCAGACTTGAGGTCTTGAAGTGTCAGTAGTGGTGGTGTTGTGTTGTTTCCTTCGAGGTGCAGTTGCTCACCACCTCACTTTCAACCTTTCCTCTTTTCTTAGCCTGCTACTGGCTACTGGGGAAATCGAACCCTGGTCCACGTGTGTTGTTGGCGGGCATTTTCCCGTTGAACCATAGATTCAGTCTTTAATACTTTACTAAACACAAATATTTTGAAATTTTGTCTGCTGCTGACCATTGAATGACCACAGGATAGAGTGCCTAGAATTCAAGTGAAAAGTTGGGACCGACAGAGCCCTCCAAGTTCGGTGTGAAGACAAATACTCGTTTGACTCATGAGTATATTTTTTTCAGGACAGTTCAGTATGTGCACACCTATGATGATATTCTCTCAGAATTTTTATTCTTTATAAGCATCTGAAACGTTGATTTACACGAAGTATCAGTGATTATTTAATAAAATAAACTGATATTACCCCTGACCTGAGGTCCTAATGTCGAAAAATTGAAAATTGGTGTATTTCTCCCAAATAATTTAGGAATGCGAAATAATGATATCATGGTTTGTGATCATGGGTTTTCGGCTTGTTTAAGCTCGTTATAGCTCAGCTAGTTTGCCATGCTTACTACCTAAATATCCTATAGTAACCGTAGCAGAAGCTATACATAGAAAGTGACTTAGACCATACCTATAGCTCGTTAATATTGATTGTGGATGATTTTCTATAGTATTGGTAGACGCGTTGAGGCTATTCACATGCTAAATTGGTTGGCAGAGATAACGGTTCCATTGAATAGTACGGGGTGGTTCCTTTGTCTGTTGGGGCCTGTGTCAGTATAGCCTTACTATGCTTGTTACTTTTGCCCATAACCAAATCGTCTGGCTAGTCGTGTATGCGAGATGAGTTCTATGTAGTGAACAACTGATTGATAAGATTATTGATTGAAGTAACTGTGCTCATCTAGACATTAGTGTATGTACTAACGGTACGAATGGTTCACCAAAGGAGAGAACTCTCGAGTGGTTGTGACAAGATGATACTGCATAGTGTTCTAATCATGTGAGAGGTTTGAATATGTGTGTTTGATTCTCCTATAAATCAATGTATGGACTCCCAGTTAATGAGTCTGTCATTGTATGAATAGACTTTTCGATCCTGCCAGTAGTCATATGCCGATCTTATAGATTAACCCATGCACGTTTAAGTACATACCTTGAAACAGTGAAATCGCGAACGGTTCATTAAATCAGCTATGGTTCCCTAGAGATCGTATACATTACATGGATAACTAGTACTTCTAGAGGTAATAAACGCAATTATGATATGATTATGAGCAGTAAATTGTACTCGAAACGTCATCAGTAAATATTACTATATAACACTGTGAGACCTGATCAAAATAAATTTTACTCATAATGGAATTATATTCTACCACAGTGCACAAGTTCTTTTCTTATATCTAACACAATTATGCCCTGACCCTCAAGGAGACGGGTTCATTTATTGAATTTTGTGATAACTCTAGATAAATTTAAAGATCTCAATCGGCCTTGTGTCTACGGTGGATCTTTCAAATGTCCATGCTATCAGTCTGCTGGTAGGTGGTCTATCTGCCATAATAATAACGGGTGAATTCGTAACCTCATTGTCTTGGGTTTAATCCCCATTGTGTTTGCGGCTGTTCATCTTCAAAAAATCTTCAAGTAGGCCGACATAACTTTTTAGTACTGTCTGGTTTTCATCGCCTCCCAGAACAATCTTGATGAACTCGTAACGAAAGCTACATCGGAGAATTTGATCAAATCTCTGCGTGTGTGTGTGTATGTGCGTAAATTTAAAATCTGCATGCCATGTTTCATAATTGCATATATACCTAGCTAGTGAGTGCCGTAAAGCATAAAACCGAGGGCCAAGGTTTCCTGTTGATTGCTTTCAACTATTTAACAAAAATTCAGCAGTTTTTTTTTAGCGTTCACCTTAATTAGCTTTATTTGTTCATTTTTTTTGTATTTCTTCATAGACATCAAACATTTATCATTAGTTATGCACGTCTATTGGCCGATCAGTTGTCTATTGAAGTGCCACAATCAGTATTCCCCTTCTTCTCTACGTCTTCAACTTCGTCAATCTCTTCATGTTCACAGAATGAATCCTTTTCAATGACCAGCTATCTTGAAGAACAACTAGCCAGTCATGCTCCACCAGTATTCACTCCATCACAGAAACACATTGTTATCGATGAAAATGAAATAAAACCTTCAACAACCACGACCACAGCAACATCTGCTATCAATGATTCTGTAATGTCAGCAAGAAGAATTGTCTTTAATAATCCTTGTTTCACTGATTCAGAGATGAAACCAGAAATTTATTTGAATGAAATGTTCCTGAGGATGTGTTCAGATATTCTAGAGGCTTTAAGTCAATCAGATAAATGTAAAGGTATGTTTTTTTGTTTCTTTGTGTGTGTACCTCCCATTTCTTCTTTTTCGTTTATTATATCTCACAATTGTCGAAGTTAATTCATGTACCTAAGAGTCTTTAAAATGTCATCGAATTAGCTAGCTAGAAGCTTTTGATTGATACTTATCGAGTTAGAGAAACACAGAAAACAAGCAGGGACTACTAGACAGCCGTTTCGTTCTAGTCTGGTACTCTTCGGGAGAAGGCACCCACTGGGGTTCAAACCCAGAACCTTTAGGTTACAGGGCGAGCTCGTAGATCATTCAGCCACTGGGACCCGACTCAATGACCGACGCATGAATTCTAACTTCTACAAATTCGTGATTTCAGTGATTGAAAACATTTATTTCCCGATACGAATTTAAACCTAGTCAGAACACTGTTCAATAGAGCACGAAAAATTTGTTCTGACAGTACTATTGAACAGGAAATAAAATCTCTGAAGGATATTTTATCTAAGAATGGATATCCCGAGAAGTTCATCAATAAATGCTCTAAAGAAACTACCCCCTGCAAAACAATTCAAACAGTTCCAAAGAAACCTGTCTATATCAATTTGCCGTTCAAAGGAGATGACGTACAAGAAGTAGTGAAATGAAGACTCGACAAAGCCATCAAGAGAACTTATTATGCTGCAAAACTTGTTATCCTTAACACCGCCAAGCGAGTGCTTCAACAATCTGGGAAAGACCAGTCGCCAATCCTCGACACTTCAAACTGCATATATCAATTTGAGTGTGTTTGTGGCAGTAAATACATAGGTCGTACGGAAAGGCGATTGTCTACTCGCATGATGGAGCATTTGCCAAAATGGTTGAAAACAGCTGAGTTCAAAGTGCCAAAATCCTCAATAACAAAACATCTTGTAGATTACGGACATGATATCGACGCAGTCAAGTCATTTACCATTGCCAGCAAACAAAGAAACAAGAAGATGCTTGCAATTGCAGAGGCTTGTGCAATTCGAATTTATAAACCAGCTCTCTGTATACAAAAGGAGATGGTCGTGACTCTTAATCTACCATGGTAATACGTTTTATTCTCTACTTGTTATTATTCTACCTCTTCTTCTTACTATTATTGTTATTATTATTACCATTATTCTTGATTCATCTAAAACTATGCTTTATCAGTAAGACTATCTTGACTCACTTCAACACTATTAAAACTGTTATTATAACTATTACTATTGATATTAGTCTGTTTGCAATTCTCCTTATATTCCCTAATGACTGATTGTTTATCTAAGTGATGTAATTGAAGCGTAATGCAATTTATCTTAATTTTGATCTCTCATACTCTCTCTCCCCTTATCTATTTGAATATGACCTGTGAAACATTCGCACGTGTCTTTCTGCATGATTAATTCAATGTAGTTTGTTTACTTATCAGTCTTATATCTCCCAATGTAATTTCAAAAATATATATATCCGTATATGTAGAGTATTCAGCTGACGAGTTCTACCGAAATTTGATGAATTCATTAAATCCTGCTTTATTAACCTTTATTGCTTGTTTTAAATTTCAGTGATTATTTGTCCTCACTCCTGACTGTATGGACCCCATTGATAACAACTTCATCCTGTAGCCAGTTACCAGTGAGCATCAGATTCTTTTTCAAGTGTTAGTTTTCAGCTATTTGACTCATTTGATACTTATTCATCCATTTTCATAGATTACTTAAAAGTAAAACAGCTTACTGGTAACAAATGTGTCTATAAATATGGAAGATAAATGATTACTGTCGTCATCCCAGTGGAATATAAGGCTTCAACCGTGCATCTCCATCACTTTGAGTTCTCTGCAATGCCTTTCAGCTAGCTAGCTAGCTGCACAAATGCCTACAAGTTTCCATTTCCTCTTCATATCATAATCTCTTGCATATCACCCTCATGTGCCTAACCCGTCTCTTCCCAATCATGTTCCACATGAGGATCTAGAGTGCAGCGTTCCTTGAAGTTCTCCTCAGCCCACACCCCATCCATCTCCATTTCCTTCTTCATTTGGTTCTTGGGGGAAATACAGTTATGCAGTCTTCCTTGATTTTCAATAATTCTTACAATTCAATGTTGGTTGGATTGTCGGGAGAAAATAAACTTCTGAATTATTTGGAAATTTTCACATGAAAAAGTCTCAGTTTTAATTAAGATGTCTGGGTGATTGATTAAAGGAAAGAGTAGAGGTTGGTCAGATTAATTTTTAAGGGCATTGAATTAGAGTGTATCTTGCTAATCTGTAAACTGACTGAACACTGATTTCATATGCATAGGATTTTTTAGCCCTATAATCTGAACAAATATATGCATTGAACATTGAACATTTGCCTGCCTCTTGTGTTGTTCTAATTATTGATTCGGCATTCCCCCCGCCCTCCACTACAACTTCACTGTATTCTTCTTTTGTACGCAAAATGACAACAAACACATGAAGATAGGATAACAGATTAGCGATAGAAAGACAAGAAAAGCGAAAACTTAGACCAACACATGTATTGGAGACAGAGAAAAAACTTACTGTGTTGTCATGTAACGTTCCTTTTTGAAAATAAAAAAATATGCCTTCTGTTGGCCTTTACGAGTTTTACATTGTACTGAAACCTGTACACACGTTGTTTTCTACACGTAAATAAATAACTAGCCGCCAACCACCTGTAATCGTAGAAGACCAAAGACTTGGTAAAGGAATGTTTACTTGGAATTTGGTATCGTTGTATAGCGAAATTATGTATACCTTATCTTCAAACCAACATTTGAACAGATCTTCCGTGTTGTGCTACACTTCTGATCTTTCTTCGTATTGTGTTTCTTTGTGTTCCTTTCACGTCTCCCATGTTTCTCCGCAACGCTGAATCGTTTGCTTTCTCTGAAATCAAATCTATCTCCTTGCTATTTGATATTTTTATGCCGATGAATGTCTCCGTATATACTAGTGATAAATCTTATCGGTAACACATGCCACACAACTAACAACCCCCTCACCCTGCCTGCCACTCTTCTGTTTCACTTGCGCATTCTATCATATTTACTGGTTAATTATTTTATATGCAAATATGCATAAATAACATTTTGAAACTTCTACTTCTATCTGACCTGAAAACAGGTCAGTAGTCTTTTAGCAAAAATAAATAACTGAAAATCGATTTGCCTTGCGACCTGGTGAAGAGACGTTACCAAAGTTATGCTGTTGGTTTGAAAAATCTGTTTCTCTAACCAAATAACCACCCACCCACTTGCACGCATGCACGCACACATACACGTGCAAGCAAATAGTCAATCAATTCTGCGAGATAGGTTATATAGGTGTGAAATACCCTAGTCTAGCTTATTGCCTTCTTTCTATCATAGTAACTAGCTACGTATTCAGACTACGTATTCAAAACTCGTGGCAATTTCTCATTGATGAGTGTAAATAAATCATTCTAAAGGGATGATGTAATAAATTATGATGATAGAATTCAGTTTTTGCTCCAAATGAAGGATTAGATGCATGACACTAGTTACTCACCTACTGTCCAATCAAAGTATCCATTACGCTCCTACAGGGTCTTGTCAATCGCGAACTTGAATAGCTCAATGATAACATCCCCGACTGCAGTATTGGTTGACATGGGTTTGAATTTAAGAGAAAACATGAATTCCTGAAAGATTTCAGACACAACTTCCTGACTGGTGAGTAATACGCCTAGGTCAGGTAAGACTTCCTACCGATTGCTTCCAACCTTCTAATAACACAGTGGAGTATTTAAAATCACGCCTCTCCTCCCCTCCCCTCCCCCCACCTTCACGACAATCCCTACCAAGCATTCAATCCGGTTGAACCATCTGGTTTGTAATCAAATAGTTCATGAATTCCAACTTCTGATTACAATTTCTATGTGGATGTTAGTGGAAAAGATGATATTGACTAAGAATTAATATGATTTCTTTGCTTTCCTATTCATTCATTTGAATGTGTCATATAACATTATTTTGTCTCCTTAACACTATTCTGTTGTTTTTATATATAGCTAGTTTGGCAGCAGATCTTATTCGCGGTCTATGCAGTTTTTACTTAGCTCAAATAAGCTGTCATTTGAAACCACCTGGCTTCTGGGTAGTAGTAGTTGCTTAATTGAAATGGTGATATAAAAAATCAAAGTCGTATTTCAAGTGCATTCAATTGACAGTTTTTGCAAATAGGACAAAATTATGCAATTGAGGTTGTTAAAACTTTTACGGCTCTCCGAGCTGAGTGAAAACCGTGTAGACAGACAGTTGATGAGATCGATTCTCAAAACAAGTGAAATGGCTGTCTAGTGTTTAACATCATTTCGATCTGTTTAGTATAATGAGTTGGTTCCCAGTCCCTCGTAATAATTAGTTAGTTAACCAGTAGTCTGAATCATCGTGTTCGGATACTTGCTTTCTTTTGACTCGTCTGTTATTTATCATGTGAACATTTATTATGGATATAGTATAATTTCAGTTTCTTCTATATGAAACTGTTGTTAGTGTGGATTTCTCACGCTGAAGTGAATTAGTCAAGGATTTAGAATCTTTAATGTTTGATGGCCAGCTTACACTACTGAAAGCTTTCTTTTACCATTAGTAGAATCGTTTAGTGGGAATATTATTCTTAAGGAAGTAGTATTTTGTTTTTCCTAAAATCAATGAATAGTTTTCTTTTACCTCCTTGCTTCCTTCTGTTGTTACGAGACAATGTAAAATGTATGCAGAGTGTAGTAGTTGCATGCTTACATGGAAGTCATTTTCAATCAAATTACCAAAAATCGTGTATGTACAAATATTTTAACACGAAAGATATCATAACACAGGTGTACAAATAGATACATGTTCATGTGTGCGTGTGTGTGTGTATGTGTGTATGTGTGTAACTGAGTGAGCGATAATAAACACGTTGGTAAATAGGGTCCGTATAAATAGCCATATACTAGCAAACACACACACACGCATATACACCAGTAGTTATTCCACCATCTG